TGTCTAGAGTATAACACCACCTTACTATGTTCAAAGCATTGGTTAATGTTGGAATTTGAGGTGGGTGAGATGACATTCAGAAAATGATTTCATGATAAGTAAGACATATCTTCAGAATGATAAGAGAATGGTGTCTTGAGTTTGTTGGGCATCTCCTGTATTTGTGATAGATTTTTGGTCACTCCTTCCCAATATAAATTAAGAAGCTAAGATCCTATTCTAGCAGAAACTAGGTAGCTATTAAATCATCTGAGTAACTTTGCTATGTTCCCCCTCCAGACAGTTCACAAAACTGTGAACACATTAGTCTGTCACCAGCACAGTTGACTAATCTGTATGAACAGCTGTTACAACATGTATTGCCACACTGGGATTTCATTCAGATTTGGGTTTTTAAAAATTATTCTAAGATTGAAATTAAACCTTTACACATTTCTGTGCTATTTATAACATTTGCTTTCTTAAAAGTAGAAATGCTTGTTATGTAAAACTTACGGACCTTTAGATTGTATACTTCGATGACTGATGGCCTTTTTGAAATTAGTTTATATTAGTAATTCCCTCTTTAAAAAAAAATCCCAAATGGTAACACCATTTCTCATGCGTTCATTTGATGTTTCTTGTGAACTGCAGTTATGTATCTTTCAATAGAATGCTATGAGTTCCTGAGTGATTGTATACATTGCATTCTTCTATGTAAAGAATTTGGGTATTTAAAACTTAGAATATAAAACTAATTTTGGTTGCAAAGTAGAAAAAGACAGTAGAATACAAATCTTTATAAGTTGACCTTATTTAGTCTCATGTTATTTATAGCCAAATAGTAAGTCATTTGTGAGCTCTGTTTTCTTCCTCTATAAAACTGGAAGGATATTCATGATGGGCTATACAAGTTTGTTAGCAAATTTTCTAAAAAAAAAAAAAAAAAAAAATGTGATGTTATGAAAATGTATAATGCATCTACAAGTACTAATAATACAAGACTTAAAAAAATAACATGTACAAAACAAATTCCAAATGCTTCATTAACCTGTTACAACCAAGTATAAGACAAAAATCATTGTATTTTAATTTTCAGTAGAAAGTGGGATTCAAATATGCTCAATTGGTTATGTGAATTATAAATGTAATTTATTGTTATTAGCACAGTGTTAATTGGCCTAAAGTCCAAGGGTAATTAAAAAAGAATCAGGACAGCTATAGTTCTTTTTGTGCAATAATCAAGATAGATTCAAGGCAGATTGATACTAGTTTTCAATCCAGTATTCCACTGTGTAAGAATTTTCTCAAATTTTGTAAAGGTAACTTCATATGCTAATAACATATAACAGCTTTCCACAAGCAAATATTACTATACAAATAACTTAAAATTGTTTATGCTACATGATCTCTAGGCCAAGCCTAATTGTGTTACTAGACTGACTGTAGATGAACATCCCAGGCTAATGTTAACACATGAAACTATTTTTAGTGAAAATAAATGCCCATGTAGCTTGATTGTTGGGGTCAGGGGGAGAGGGATTATGTTCAGGTATTGAGAGGTAGAAGTAGACATTTGACTCTAGCCTTACCATTTCAAACCCAGTATTTGTATATGCTGTACAGTGTTTTCCTTTTAGTGTAGAAATTTTGTTAAAGACTGTGTGTAACAGAAAGTGTGACATTTCAGAATTTTCCTGTTTTTTCCCCATAATCTTGAAATATAAATTGTATGTGAGCTCCCTGTTTTTGTTTTGTTTTTATATAGTGGAAGATGACCTTAGTAAATTTCTGGCTTTTAGACAATGTCAGTGCGTCCAGGGTTAATGACATCACTTGAATTTTGTGATACTCAGATAGCTTATGGTTTTGTTTTCTAAGAATAAACAAAATGCCTAGACATGATAATTTGTGTTACAATTCAAGATCAAAATATTTTATTTTCCAAGTCAATATTAAAGGCATTTATAATGTTTAGATCTTAGCAGTTAACCATGTTTAGATTCCTTTAATTAAGCTCTGTCTGTCTCTGTGGATCTCAGTCTTTTCCATGGCCTCACATAATGTACAAGTGTTCTATTACTATACTGTATGCTATAAAAATAATTTCTATGTTTACGTTAATGTTAGATGGTTGTCTTTGTGCTGTCACTAATTTAATTTATAAAGTACACTAATGGAAAAGCATACATATAGATTTACAACTTTTGCTCCTTTGTGCGGTCTATTTTTGTAGCATTGATGCCCTATGTTTTATACAGGCATTAATACTGGAACAACATTTAGAAAGCACAGTGATGAGCCCCTTCTGGCTCTGCATTTGGTACTGCTCTAGGTCTTAGGTTGTCTCCTTTGCTTGACGCATTTGCACAGTTTTTTAGTTGTAAATAATTCAATAAAATAATTGCATATTTCAGATGAAATGAAACTTTCTTGTTCTAAACAATTTGAATATTTCAAATTTTTGTTTTAAGTAAGGAAATTTAGGCCTCCATGTAAACTTCTTAATTCAAGTTACTGTGCTGGATACCTGTAGGAGTTTGCTGACCAGAAAAACAAAATAAAACAACCCCTCATTTTTTAATATTACTTTATATTTAATAAATCCAAGCTTTAATAAATTAAAAATGTCTCTCAAATTCTGCTTGGCTATGGTGTTTTGCTTGTAAGCCAGAATTGTTTCAGATGTAGTTATACAAATATCTTGACTACCAACCCTGAACCTTTCTTTTTTCTTTATTTTTTCTTTTTTTTTGTACTATGGTGTGTTTAATAAAAATAAGTTCATGTTAATGAAGAGTATTTTGATTATTCAGTGAAAAAAAATACTGTCTTATGAGCAAATGATGTGACTTCACTGATTAAAGTTCTTCCAAAAGATTAGGTAGCAAACTACATGAAAGAATTTTGATGTTCTTCTTAAAACAAGGCATAAGATATCAGTTAAAAATGGTCAGGAGTCACTGTGCTAATACAAAAGTTGTTCAGTATGACATTTGTTCATATATTTTACCCTCCTCTATGAGGGGCATGGGTAATGAAGTATACATTTGACTGTTGTTTGCCAGTTGGAAGGGCTCCAAAAACAAGGAGGCATTTGTACATGTGCAGATGTTGGCAGGGATCCCTTTTTTCTTGTTGTCAAAGACCATTTTATTTTCACAAAGATATGCTTGTGTCTGTTCTACAATATGGCGCGTGAATAATACAGTGTATGGAGGTGGTTTTGTTTTACTTTCTACATGACAAAATAATGTAATTCTACGTTCTTACTAAATTTTTAGTGTTCCATTTTTATGTCAGAATCTTTATACATTCACACTTCTGAGAAATAGCTAAGTCTGTTGTAGCCCTTTGTGTAACGAAAATGTCAAGGTCATGAAGTATTTTAAATTTTGAGGAAAGTTGAAATAGTATGTGGTTTGTGTACAGTTTTTCACTGTGCATTCCACATGAGCAATGATCTGTCACTGTTCTTGGTCCCCAGAAGAAATAAAAATATTGCTAAGGATTAAAAACATGTTTTCCTCTAATTTCTAAGGAGTAAGTAGCTATTGATTCTGCCCCCCAGAATTACTTAAATATAGTAAACATACTTACTATATTAAAGAGCTATGGTATCTTTTCATGTAAGAAATATTTTGTCATAAAAGTAAAAGCTGTCTTTGCAGAGTATGATTGCTGTTCATTTATAGAATTAAAAATGGGCGTAAGTGAGAACTTAGAAATTACAGGCAAGGGTTTGTCTAAAGATGTTTCTGTTTTATCATAAGGATTTTAAAGTAGAGGGAAATTTGTTAGACAGTTAAAGATCTTGGCAAAATTAGATTATTTTTTGTTTTTGTTTTTGTTTTTTTTGTTTTAAATGAGTGCTACATCTCTGGTTCTTTAAATGTATGTAGATTATTCAGGTTCTGGTAATAGAAATGGGCTGTGTTGTTTCTCTGGGGTGCTATAAGATTGTACTTACTGTCTCCTTACTCATCTTCACTCATCCTTTAGTGCTGGTGTTAGTATAATCTCATTAATTTTTTTTTCCAGGTAAAAAATACAAGAGTGACACAAACCTCTGGCCTTATAATGCTATATATGGAACTTAGGATAGCTTTTATCATGTTTGTTTTCCCTCCAATAATCATTTCTTAGTGACACATTTTAGCTGTAGAAAATATCTTCAATAGGGCTGGGAGTGTTTCTCAGTGGTAGAGTGTTTGCCTGGCGAGCTCAGGGCCCTGAGTTGGATTCCCACCCATTATGGCGTCATGGGCTGATCTAGTTGAAAATGACTTATTTTTTATTTAGAGCTAGAATCTTCCTGGTAGTTAAAAAGCCCTTTAAAAAACTCACTAATGTGAAAAAGTAATTTTGAGTCTGAGGCAAGGGAAAAAGAGACAAGACTACTACAAAGCCATAGATGCTTAGGATGGAGATTGTGTTACCTATGATCAGTTTATTATTTCCCATCTTGGATATTGTTAAAAATCTAAGAATCCTTCCCAGCATTCTCTTGACTGCTTCTGGATTGGTTAAACCTGTAAAAGTGTATAAACTTTAGTAACTAACAGCACACTATTTGTCTGGCGTTTAGTCTGTAAAATAAAAGCCTGTGGCTAAACAGAGCCTCTATAGTTCACTCTTCCTGTCAGCATAGCACAGTGCCTAATCAGGTAGATAATTACTGGTTAGTGTATTTTCAGGACTGTCCATCAAATAAACCATTGATTACTTGCGAGTATACAATAAAAAAGATACAGAAAAGTCTATAAATATTTTTAGAATTGGTAATAAATAGTGTCTCTTGCCTTATATTCTAAAATGCTGAAAAGTAGTATTTGTTATAGATTTCAAATACAAAGTTTTCCACACTTTTTTGGGGTCCATAGTAATGATGTGAGTTAGAAAGGGAAACTAAGTTTGTACTGATACACTGTACCTAGTAGGAATCTGCTAAGAACATCTGGGGAGAGACTAAGGGTAAAGTCATCAGACTGTCTCATAATATTAAGGTAATTCTCTTGTAGAGTTTTCCATCTGATGAAGGTTGGCCATTTGCAAAATATCTTGGAGCTTGTGGAAGAATGGTGGCCGTAAATTATGTCGGAGAAGAACTGTGGAGTTACTTTAATGCACCATGGGAGAAAAGAGTTGACCTTGCTTGGCAGCTAATGGAAATAGCAGAACAGCTTACAAACAATGACTTTGAGTTTGCACTCTACCTCCTGGATGTCAGCTTTGACAATTTTGCAGTTGGTCCTCGAGATGGGAAGGTAATCATTGTGGATGCTGAAAATGTTTTAGTTGCTGACAAAAGATTAATTAGACAAAGTAAGTATTTTAATTTTCGGATTTTCTATCTTTAGTACATTTTTTTGTGTTTAAATGTTATATTTATAATAAAAACCTAAGTTTTTTTTGATGGCAACCTGTGTCTTTTTAAAAATTTTTGTGTAACCAGGACCAACAAATATTTGTTATACTTGTAATTAGAATTTCTCCATATTTAGTAAAATGCTCGTGTTTAAATGAATACAGACTTCCCTCCCCACCCCCTTGTGGCATCTGTGAAGGTATGTGTATAGATATGCACATCTTTAACATACTGTGTTCTGTGGTTTAGAACACAGCTTCTTAAACTGGTCATGACCTCAAAGGGTTGCATAATGAAATGTGGGGGTTGTGAAAAAAATGTAGCAATAGTCAAAAGGATTCTGAGTTGTGCCAGAAGAAGAAATTAATTAAAAATCAAGTACATAATGAATCTGAGGTATTTATACCAGTGATTGCTTGTGTTGTATCATATAGCATCCCTGCAAAGCACAGGGCACACTGTCACCCCACAGAGCCAGTCTTTGCTACTGGGAACGTTTTCACGCATACTGGAGACTATTGTGAATTATAGACAATTTAGATAAACTATAGAAATGTTGGACTAAAGAAGACTCGATGTTTCCTTACAGTTGTAAAGTTGTTCCTTGGCATATAAATATCAAATTAGCATAGTTTTAGATTATTTAGATTTAGTGTTATGTTAGAATATTTGATATTAAAAATGACTTAGTTACTAGCTTAAGTTTTTATTTAAAAAATTAATTTTGGTTTGGGATTGGAACAGAATTGCTAACAGTTTCTGAAATGGACCTAAACAGAATTTTGTCATTTTCTAGTATGTATTTATTATACACAGTGGCACTCCCAGCATTGACTATAATTATAAATTCAAAATATCCATCAGCTCTGAAAAATGTTGAAATGCTCTATGCACTGCAATATTAGGTATTCAAGTGAGAGCTAATTCTTATATAAAACTAAATACACATTGATCTCATTAATATGAAAATTTCCTTTCTTTAATAAACAGTATAACTATATATCAAATAATTTTTGCAGTAATTTTGATGGTTTCTTATCAGTAAGTTTCGATTTATATTCCTGTACATTCAGAGTTCTACAAACATTTCTTCAGCAAAAGGAGGTTGTGTATGGAACAAGATGCAAAACACTTGCTTAATGCAAAAGGAAGTTTATGCTGTTATAGCTCATCAAAGTGTCATCTTTACTGGAGGCTGCAGGGCCTTACAGAGATTCCTATTTTGTTTTTTCTTTTCTGGAGTTCCCAGAGTGATGGTTTTATCTTACTTTTCACTTGGGTGATGTCTAGCACTGCAGGTCTGGCCTGAGTCTAATGTTAGGATTATTATTATAACTCAGTCCAGACTTTGCTGTCCATTTTGTTTGTGAGCTTTCTCTGTAATTGGTAGGTAAAGTATAGGAAATGTTTAGAAAATCAAATACCATGGGAATTTCAAAGTGTCAAGGATAAATAAATCCATATTCTAGAAGTAATTTGGCTAATAAAAGATACGTTAGGGAAGCTACCCTCTCACCTGAATCCCAACATTCAAGCTGGTAACATAGAAGAGCCACAAGTTTGAGGCCAGCTTAGAGTACATGCTGAAATAGAGGCCATCCTGGGCTGTAGTGAGATCGTTTCTCAACAAAATAAACCCAAGAGTTGTTTGAGAATCTTAACTTTGTCAGCTTATCTCAACCTCTGACAAAAGGGATATGAGCACCATTAGGTTACCTTCACAATTCCAAAGTTGTGGCACCTGCAGCTGTATAGTCATTGTATTTTCAATGATCATTACACTCCTGTTTGGGGCTTTTCTTTCTTTCATCTTTCCTTCTTCCCCCCCCTCCTTTTTTTTCTTTTTTTTCCTCCCCCCCCCCCTTAAACATCTTGTCCAGATTCTGTGCTCATGAAGCTCTTTAATGATGACTTCTTGACTTGTCATGGATTCTACCATAGGGAATGAATGCTCTACTTGAGGGCCCTGCTCACCTCTTCCTTTTTGTATATTTGCTGCTATTATGGGATTGTAGGCCATGCTTTCCTCTTAAAAGTTGTAGCCTGCTGGATGGTGTTGGCATATGCCTTTCTTTAATCCCAGCACTTAGGAGGCAGAGGGAGGCAGATTTCTGTGAGTTTGAGGCCAGCCTGGTCCACAGAGCAAGTTGCAGGACAGCCAGGGCTACATGGATACACACCTCGAAAAACCAAACCAAAACAAAAAAGTTGTAGCTTGCTTTCTCCTAGCTAATGCCAACAGCTTTCCCTTGCTTAAATGGTTCCGATGCCCTCTTATTTCTCTAGTAGAATCCAAATGGCTTCCAAGGCACAGACTGTGTGACTTGGTCCCACTCAGCTTCATTTTCAGTGTCTGTTCATTACCCTTGATGCCTCAGGGATGATGATGAGGGCCTTTTATTTCCCTGGATCCCTGGATGAATCTCCCCTGTACCCCCTGGGCTTTCCTGAGTGCATTTTCTCTGCATAAGGGTCATCATCTCTGTTTTGCTCACACTAGATCTTGCTCTGTAAACCTTGACTTCACCAAGCACATGTTTGCTTTTGTGTTCTCAGATGGGTGTGTGAGTCTTCCTAATTTAAACCCAGGAGTTCAAATCTGATTCTGTTCACATATATGACAGACCCACCTGAATAAATGCCTTATTTTATATTATAAAATATTTACACCGTTGTGTTACTATTACCTATCTTGCCATCCAGTTAGTTAGAACCATAAACTTTGCTTGCGTAGTCTTAATTTTTATCTCAAATGTTTTTTGGGTTTGTCTTTTCTTTCTGGACCTTCTTTGGTTGTTGTGGTAATTTTTTTTTAAAGTTACTACAATTATTTGTGTTTGTGGGTGTATGTATGTGGGTGTGGGCGTGCCATGGTGTGTATATGAAGGCAGAGAACAACTCGTGAGAATCTGTTGTCTCAGGGTTACCTTTTACTGCTCAGCCATCTCATAGGCCTGCTAGTCATCCCAGTCTTTAGACAGGTAACTTTCTGAGCAGCAAATGATCATGCAGGTTTTACAGCTTGTTTTTTTAGCTTCACTTGTATCTGGTATCTGTTTCGTAGTTTCAGTCTGGCATCTACCCGAAATACTGTTTGCCCAGCCAGATGGACCAATGACCCTATGTTCATCTCTTGCAGATACCGTACTTTGGGCTGCAATGCTGTTTTCTCTCATTTCTTGACTCATTATCTTTTAAGATCTAAAAATCAGATGTTCTTATGTAGCTTTCTGATGCTCCATGCAAACATCTAGATTTTTCTAGTCTTGTAGCATTCATTAGGTGTTGCTTTTGTGTTAGAGAAAATCCTAGATGAACCTAAGAAATGGTAAGGGCTTCGTTTGATCCTTCTACCTGAGATCCCAGTAAATGATGTTTTATGAATTAATATATAATTAGTATATTAATTAAATTTACCAAGTATTTTATGTAAAAAAAGTGTAGAACAAATGTTTATTAATGGAATGTTATGTTTAGAGAACAATAACAAGTTGGTTTTCAAATAAACTTTTCTGATTTTTCTTCACAGATAAACCTGAGAATTGGGACGTTTGGTATGAAAGTAAGTTCGATGACTGTGACAAGGAGGCTTGTTTATCATTTTCAAAAGAAATCCTTTGTGCTCGTGTCACTGTGGACCACAATTACTATGCTGTTTGTCAAAACCTCTTATCTAGACATGCCACCTGGCGTGGTACTTCTGGAGGACTCCTTCATGATCCACCAAGTGAAATTGCCAAAGATGGCCGACTGGAGGCCTTGTTAGATGAGTGCGCCAACCCCAAGAAGCGCTATGGCCGATTCCAGGCTGCGAAAGAACTGCGTGGGTATCTAGCACAATTAAGTCACAATGTGAGGTAGTAGATGGTGATCTTTTTCTTCGCTGAAATAGGAATGGCAAAACAAAACCACCAAAAAACTGCCTAGAAAAAACACAATGTGGAAGTATTACTCAGAGGATGAGAAACTTGTTCTGATAGACTGTACATTAACATCCATCAAAATAAGACATTACTGTACATCCAAGATTACATGATGCTTCTGCAACTCTGTTCTTCACTTTGGAGACTTGCGATACCATTGACTGCTTTCCTCTTCCCATTCCTGCGTGGATTAATGATGTTATTAAGCTATTGGAAAGGAGTCTGATAGTTACATGGCTTGTGTATCAAAGGGTACTTGGTACTTAGTTTGCATTTCTATCATGATTTTGTGAATCTCTTGTGTTTACTTTGAATGTCAAGTTAGATCGGCCTGTTTTATAGGCCACCTTTTCCTTCTGATGTGTAAAATTATTTTTCATTTTTTTTAAAGTTTTACACACCCAGGTTACTATAGGCATTGACTTAAATTTTAATAGAAGTAGTTTTCATTCAGTGCTATGCGGTACATACTTAACTGTTAGAGCAGGGCTCCCAGGTTTACTGTTTTTACAGAGATCTTAGTATTTCATTGTGTAAATAATTTACCTCCCCTCAACCTCCTGTGCTTCATCATTGCATGGTATCATTTCAGGTTATTTAAGAGTTAAATTCCTCAATGCCAGTAATTATAAGTATATACTGAACATGTAGTTCAGCAGATGCTACAAAATGTCACTACATCCCTTGCTAAAAGGCTTTAAGAATACACTAGCAGTCTACACGTTGAAGAAACCATGTGAACTCAATGCTTTTAAAAGCTAACTAGTCCAAGATAGTAATGCATATGCCAAAGAAATATTAGACACATTCCTTGTTTAGAACTGAAAATAGAATTGGTCAATTCTTAGCCCACTTCAATATTTTAGCTTTCACTGTTAAATTAAAATCTGAGTGTTCTTTATTGACAGTTGAGCTACTGCTTAAAAAAATGTATAACTTAAAGATCTAACATTTTATTCATTGGTAGGTTTTTCAAAATGAGCACAGTGATTATTGTTAGAATTTAATTAGGCATCAGAACCTTTTACTTATTGATACACTAATAATTTTTATTGTAAAGCTTGTCTGCCCACTGTGATCTTCTTCATCCAATTGCTAAATATCAGAACATCAAATTTAAATATTGAGTAGAAAGATTAACAAATAATGTGTAAAATTTTGTCTGATTAAAAACTGTTCTGTGTACAAAAAGTTGACTCTCAGTAGCACAGGCAATATTTTTCTGTTTGAAGTTGTTACTTTTGTTTGCCGTAAAGTTTGGGATAGTGTGCAGTGGTGGGTTCTGGACTGAATTACTGAAATCAGAAAGTGATTAAAACATGCACAACCAAAGCCAAGCTTGTCTTTTTCATTCATTCAACAACTATTTATTGATCATACTCCGTGCTAGGTGCATTCGTAGCTGCTATATACCATCTAAACATGACATGGTCAATTAGCATAAGTACGTCTTAAGTTGATTGATTATTTAGGATTACACTTTCATATTATTTGATTATTGTGATGGAAAGTTTCTTTGTACTATCTTAAATTAGTTTCTTAACCCAAAGTGGAGGGAGACAGCAATAAAGTTAATCCAAGTTTAAAAATGGGAAGGCAAAGTGTGAGAGATCTCCATTATAAAGCAGATTGCATTGTGTTCCTTCTTATACATAGCTAACTTTTTACAACTTAGAAACATTTTTGAGGGGAGTAGGAAAAAAATCATCCAGCAATACTCCCTTGCTTCTTCCTCGAGCCACACTAAAATAAACAATTTTCAAACAGAACACCATTATATTTTCTACATATTCATAACACAGAAGGCTAGAACTCACGGGCGCTGTCTGATATTCCACAAACATCTTCCTATTTTTGGTGAGTGATTGTGGTTGTGATTACAGAGCAGGAAGTAAAGAAGCATGCCGGGGAGTGATGGCTATTTGAGGTATAACCACCACTAGAGATTATGTGGAATTTCTTTTACCTTTGGAGAAATCAGAGGAGGTAGTAAAGAATTAGGAATTTTAAATTACAGGGAAAAATATGTATGTGAAAAGCAATAAATATTTTGTTCTCTTTGCTATCAAGATGTTCACATTCAGATATTTATTATACAGCAGCAATTTATATTTTTAATCATTGCCCATTAATAGACGCGGTAAAATATTTTTGAATCAAACATTTGGGGTTTGTATGTGCATTTAAATTGTCTTTTGTACTGTATGTTACTGTTTAATTTGAATATTTTATCAGAACTGTCTCCCTGTGCCTTTATAAAATATAAAGTTGTCTCTGCAACTTTTAATGATCTTAATAAAGAATACTTTAAGAACCTTACTTTGTAGACTTTCTCTTCAACTATTCAAGTTTTTATTGAATAAGAAATAATTATTCCTGTCCCCTCACTAGTACTTTTGTTAAATCTTTCCAAACTGTCTTCATTGAGTGTAAACTTGATTGAGATGTATGTTTTGTTTTTCTATAATAGTGACCTTTTAAAACCTACTATTAAGAACTGGAAAGACAAGCTTAGGAATTTTCAACTGTACTTAAGAGAATTATATAATGTTCATAGCTATTGCACTAACTTCCAAAGTTATCAACATTACCAAATGTGTTTCATCTTCATCAAAACCTGCTTCTCCCAACTCATTTTGAAGCAAATTCAGCTGTGTCATTTGATTCGGGAATATACACTAGGTGTGCTATCTTTCAACAACGCCACAGTGTAACCAGTCAAAAATGAACAGTAACGCCTCAGCATTGCCAAAGCAGGAAGTTTTTCATAAATCCCTCAGCATTGAGAATTTTCTACCCCAGGCTGAAAAGATGGAGCATCTTCATGAGCAATCGAAATGGTAACCAAAGTGGACTGAGACACATTCAATATGTAAACCTGAATTCAGCAGCCCAAATCGGCACATTAATTATGCCACCTTTGAGAGAATAATGACATAAAGTTACTGGGAAAACTGGTGGATAGAATAAAAAGAAGCACCCTGCCTTTTTTTCTGGAAAAATCAAATGATACCAGGAAATTCTTGCAGAATACCTAAAATTCCAATTAATAAATAACAGTGTTAGCATATTCCTGATGCATTAGCAAATCTAAGTAGTGGTTATATTGAAGTTATTTATTGAAAAGCTGGTGGGGAACATATTCATGGATCAAAATGGCAACTGGACCTGCAGTCCAACCTCACGATGACAGGTCTGATAAGATTGAGTGGCAAGTACCCAGTGACACCTTCAAGATGTCTTGCCAAAAACCAACCAGTAACATGGAGTCTGCCCCCCCCCAAAATCTGTCCATTAATAGAAAGTATACAGAACTGAGGAAATTTACAAAAGATAGCATTGGGTATAGTCCAAATGCATGTTCTGAAGAATCCTATACACTGACACACGGTTTTCTTCAGTAAGCTGTAGGCAAAAGCAAGAGCATTAAAAGAAATGTAAACTTTCATCTCTGTAGCTTGAGAAAACCTTTCTTTTAAAATTGGAAATTTAAACAACAGGAAGACCTGGGCAATCTTATCAACTTCACTTTTCCACATGAACATGTGGAAGAGCCCTGAAACAGCTTATGCTAAGCAGTCTGTAACTACTAATACACAGTATTAACTATAAGTCAAAGGTTTGAACAAGAGTATATTCCATTTGTAAGATTACCCGTAATTACAAAAGATAGGTAGGACAAGAGCTGGGCCCAATTTTCTGACTGACCTCTGATCAGCCTGAACATTTTTCCCTACTTTACCATGGGCTACAACTTTTAAGGGCTAGAAGCATATACTGGAATGCAAGAGCATATTGTAAAAGGAGGAATTGTGCATTTTCCCAATTACAAATTTGGGGAAGGGAAAGTTTATGAGAACAAGTAGAGGTAGAAGAATCCCAATAGACAAGGTAACAAAGCATTGCAAATGCTACACAGCTAATCAGTCTTGGGTTTGTATTACTTTGCTTTGTTATAGAGGAGCAAACCAATGGCAACTGCAATATCACTAAGGAATACCCCAATATCTCTTTGAAGCCAAGGACATTGCTACTAGTTAGCTTCTTGTAACATACCTTCACCCATATTTTTAGTTTTTACCCCCCAAGTCTTTTATATTTATGAATTTTGCTTGCATGAGTGTATGTGTACCATGGGCATGCCAGAAGAGGGTTTGATTCCCTGAAACTGAAGTTAACTGATGGTTGTGAGCCACCATATGAGTACTGGTAACTGCATCTGGGTCCTCTGCAGGAGCAGCAAGTTCTCTTAGCCACTGATATGTCTCTTTAGTCCCACCCATGTATCTTCAAGCTATCATAGCTATGTGGCTATATTCAGTGTCCTGTAGATTAGGGTTATCCTTCCATTGGAAGAGTGATTTAATAATCCTGTATGGACAGGGAGTGAATGGTGATGAAATCATCGGCCCACAATTGTTTACTTCCAGAGATGTGTCTTATAGCATGTGTTCCCATTGTCTCAGTAACCATCCTTGAAGGATATCTTTTAGAGTTTTAAACAGTGCTCCTATTTTTCTAGTAATGTAGCAAATTTGGGTTTCTTTGATTTCTACTAGGAAACATTGTGGTCACTGTGTAATTTTTTTTTCCAGACAAATTATTTTCAGATATTTTGAGAAGGAGTTTAAAATAGGGATAAGGATTGCAGGCAGTTTTCTCTTAGGAAAGTAGAGACATCAATGTTGTAATTAAGATGTAATTAAGTTTGTGTAGTTTTTTTTCTTTCTCTAGCACTAATAGTTTCTCATTGAAAAGTCCTTGGTGGTCAGGACTAGGCAGATGGCTCAGATAAAGAGGTTGCCAGACAAGCATCAGGATCTACGTTTGAGCCCATGAGAGAAAAGCCAGGTCTTAGCATGTATGTACAATCCCAGTGCTGGGGAGGCACAGACAGGCAGAAATGGGGGGGCTCTCTGGACAGCCACTCTAGCTTACGAGCAAGTTTCAGATCAGTGAGAGACCCTGTCTGATAAAGTGACAGTGACAGGAATGACACCTAAGATTATCCTGTGACTTCCACACACATTCCCCAACCCCCACTTACAAATCTTCGCCTGTTGTTAAAACTATAAATAGAAATTGCAAGCACTGGATACCCATTTGTTCCCAAGGGAAAGATCTTTCTCTGCCATTGAAAATACAACTTCAAAAACAAAGTTAGTATGACGTTGAACTGTTTAAAGCAGGAGAGTTTTATTTATTTATTTTAGTCTTGCCCTGTTGTAAATTGTAGATAAATTATTGAATGTAATTCACATTTAAAGATGCAGAAATCCTGTTTTGACTCTGATTATGAGATTATTGGACAGGATTGGATAATATATGGAAAAACAGTTTGAAAGTTGTAAAGGACTACAATATGTTGTAGTAACAAGCATTGATGTTTTGCCCAACGAGAAGGATGGAACTTCATTCAGGATTAACTGGCTTCTTGCTAGTTGTTGGCACTCAGCCACCAATGACTTCTACCTCCTTGTGACTTAAGACCAGAAACTGGCTTCAGCTGGGGAAAGGCATTGGGTGGATTATTTTTAGAATACTTCCTGTGTTTCTGATGAAATGGCTGAAGCTATTACTTAGTATGAGGATTCTAAGTTTGTAGCTCCTTGTACTTCACAGGATGTTTATAATCAGCGAAAAAAATATAATTGGGGGAGGGAAGAGAAGTATTTAAAGAGTGGGTAGTACTGCTAAACTCTTGTATTGAACTAACTTGCCCATTTTTAAAATTGAAATATCATGAGCAAATTAAAATATTTGCTACAATGAAATGTCTGTGACTACTTGTTGCTGAGTATGGGTTCATTTGAGATCATCTTTAGTGACATGATGTAATAAATTAATAGAGCAATCTCTGAATGTCAGCATACTTAAGTGTATCTGATACATGTGGTGGTTTACACCTGTGTTCCAGAGCTTATGAAGCCAAGAAAGGAAATCACAAGTGTGAGGCTAATCTAGGTTGTTACATAGTGAAACCCTGCCTTTAAAAAAAAAATTATAGGTAGTATATGAAAGTAATAACTGCAATTAAAGTATTAGGAGTTTCTAAAAGAAATGGTAATGATATGACTAATGAACTCATCAACATCAGGTAGCATACTGCTATATTTCCATGATCCTCCCTGAGAGAAAGCAAGGCAAAAGCAGGGGATAAAGAGTGAGGTCGAGTTCTCTGCTCTTGGCAGAGCACTAGGCTTAGGTAAGGGTGTGAAGTGAAGGAGGTGTTGACAGGAGAGGAGAAACACTTGTATCTAGAAAGACCAGTCCTCTTTTCCATTTCTCCTGCGCCACACAAGCTACTTTAGCAACACAGGTGGGAGTCAAGCTCTTCGCCATAGTGAGATCCCATTCTAAGTCAAAACACCATGTTTTAACTTAGCCATCTGTTCAATCACATCCAACATTTCATCATTAAACATGCTGCTTGAAATAACCTTCCACAAACAACCCCATCCACAGATGAGTACCACTGTAAAAAATTGGAATCGCCAATTCAGAGGAACTTACCATGTCTTCAAGTTAGCTTCCAAATTGTCCTCTGCCGATCTTCATCTCACTTAAACTCCCCCCAAATAGTATACGAGAACGGGCTTCTTACTCTTCAAAAGTAGATTAACATACCTCTAGCTTTTACTGATATTCATGCATACAAAACCTGTATCTATGCTTTTTGTTTGCAATGTCTTAGTAACTAGTTGGTGAGGCTTGAGAAAACCAATAGCGCTTTACCTTTCTGTGTGATTTAGAGTAAGAGATAAATGTGAGAACTAAGGAGTAGGGGCATCTCTCATACTGTTGACAAAGATTGTCACAGGCAGGGTTGGAAAACCAGCGTTCTTTCTGTCAGCACATGCACAGAACTTTCCCTTGGGTCGCACAGACAGAGAAGCTGAAGGTTTGTGATTCATGAGACAATCACTTTTTAAAGGAAAGAGAAAGTGGAAACACACACTGTTGTCTTTCCCATAGTAACCAGTAAGTGAGTCATTGGCAATGGAGAAAGGGGAGGGGAATTGGGAATTGTACTTGCACTTTCCGCCCATAGGCTGGAGAACTAGGAAATCATGTCTTCCCCTTCCCTTTGCAGTGCTAGCTTTCTAGTGAGTTCAATAGCCATTTAGTCTTCTTTTCTTTCCCTTGCCCATACACATGGAGACACAATAATCCCTTCAAACTTAGAATTTTGACGTTTTATGTATTTTGAGAGAGTTTGTTTAGACTCTTGTTTATACCTAAAGGGTAAAACAAGAAAAAAAAAAAAATAGACTAGCTACATTTGTGCAAAGCACTCTCTATCCAGTGCTCACCACACC